CAGAGTGCTGGTTCTTTGCTGTTAATGTCAGAAAATCAAATAATCTGAAAGAGCATTTCTGAGACAGAGTGTAAAATGTGTGGCTCCCATCTACGCTCCAGCGTTTCAAATTGCTGGGTCACTGGATAGAAACAACAAAACTGATGAACTTAAGCGGTGAAAAGTTGTATATATAGCATTTGCACATGTGCTGTCCATACAGGCATATTCATGATTGCAGGGCTGAAATAAATCGCATCCATTCACACCCTTCAATGTATTATCATGTAGCTTCTATCTCATACAAACAGTCAGATATATGGTATGTACATAAAATGTTGTGCATAACTGTAATCCCCATCAGATGGCTGTTTAAGTCTTTTGCATTTATGTTCTGCTCACTGGGCATAAATGGTTTTTATGTGTCAGAAACCCCATTTATAACATGATTAATTTCTCCCAGACTTGAAAACAACCAATTTCCAAGAATCAAAGGAATCCATATGGATCCTATCAAGAGACAATGTTCTTCTTCTATTGTTTGCTAATCCTGGTTCCCCAACAGACTATCCACCAGATTTTCTCAACTAATTAAGATGTTCAATTTAAGGAACCCAGAAACTGTAGCTTTTTCTAAAGATTTCTAAGTTGTGACAATCAGAAAAGAAGTGCACTTAGCCTTTGGAATGCTTTCATAATTTTTTTCTTTTCTTTTTTGTAGACCTGAGAAAAACTTTGAAAGTTAAAAGCAGTCTAGAAAAGTTTTAAAATGCTATCTTTTGATTAACCAGGATTGTTTACCAATGTTTCAGAAAATACAATTTGTTCTATTTTGTAACAGCACTAATATTTTCAATTCGGCTGGACAATTAAAAAAAGAAATGCAAGTTAAGTCAGAGAAGTGCTAGCTAAAACTCTGCAATGGTAAGGACTAAAGATAGAAGATGGGTGTAGTCTGCAAAAAGGCACGGAGAAACTAGTGTGTATCAACACACGTTTCCTGTTATGCTGTGAGTTTAAAAAATCTCTAGACCAAAATTATAATGTGAGCATCAAGCTAATTCTTGAACCTACATCCCATTGCTGAGCTATACTTTAGAGGAGATACAGAATAGATTTGGATACTATCAACAAAGCTGGTATGAAATTATTTAAGCCTCTTGACTGATACCTAAACAACACAGTGTAGATCATTTCTGGTGGCCATATTGTGCCTGCTTTGAAAATTATTCCAAAGGATAACAGAATAATAAAATAGCAGAGTTGGAAGGGATTGGGAGGTCTTCTAGTCCAGGGGTCGCCAACCTTTTGGACCTCAGGTACCCCCAAACTCATAATTTTAAATCCCACGGACCACTAATATGAATCCAGCATGCTGCTCGCTGAAGCACTGGACTCCCACTGACAGGATAGAGTCCTTCAGGCACTTAGCTTGGCTGCCTGTTTCTGCAAACTTAAATACTCAAAGAGTCATTTGGACCCATTTCCCACAGAAAACAAAACACCAGGATCTCTCATCTCTCTTTCTCTTTCCCTCCCCCCTCTCTTTCTCCCTTTCTTTTTCTCTCTCTCTCTTTCTCCCTTTCTCCCTCTTTCTGATGTCCAGAGGCCAACAAGCCATGTGCTGAAGACCAGATGGCGGGGAGGTGGGGCAACAGGGGTGATACGGGCAGTGGATGGACTCATACATGTGGCAGATTGTGGCCTGCGAAAAGGTGGGGACAGGGGGAAAGGAACCTCGGAACTGGTGTCACCTCCTGCCTCCATGTATCGAGGAGGTTGAGCGGCTGCCAGCAATGCCCTCAAGTGAAGATGTTGCGAGGGGGAGGCTCAAACCCCTCCCCTTAGGAGCTTTGCTTCCTCCTTGCCAGAAACGTTCACACGCAAAGCGCTCACCACCCCTCTGGCACCCGACAAGCCTCCTCCTTCCCGCTGGGTGTGTGAGCTTCTGGTGAGGAGGAAGAGAGTGTCGAGCCTCCCCCTCATCTTCACCCAAGGGCATTGCTGGCAGCTGCTTCCTGAGGCTCAGGGGGTCCACACTCTTCCTGCTGCTGCTCGGCCTCCTCGATGGGCTGAGACAGGAGGCAGCAGCCACGACATGGATTTGCTAGGGAGACTGCAGGATTGCCCCACCTCCCCGCCAGCCATCTGGTCTTCAGCACACTGTGGCCCATCTAAATTTTCTCACGGACCACCAGTGGGCCACAGCCCACTGGTTGGTGACCACTGTTCTAGTCCAACCCCCTGCTCAAGCAGGAGACCCCTTAATCACTTTTGTTGCTGTTCTCTGCACTCTTTCTAGAGCCTCAACATCTTTTTTTATATCATGGTGACCAAAAGTAGACACAATATTTTAAATGTGGTCTTATGAAGGCATAATAAAGTAATATTAGCCCATCACGTGATTTTTATTCCATCCCTCTGTTAATGCAGCCTAGGATTGCATTGGCCTTTTTGGGAGCTGCAGCACACTGGTGGCTCATATTTAAGCAGTTGTTCACTAGAACTACTAGAGCCCTGTTGCAGTTACTGCAATTGAGCCAAGTACCACCTATTCTGTACCTGTTTCATCATGTTTCATCATGTGCAGCAGCATGAATGAAGTTCTTTATTAAGTCTTCTTGCATGAGAATGAGAACATAGCTTCCAGGATAAAAAAGAAGGTACAGTGTTCTGACCTCAGAAGGTCTTAGACAAATACCTCATATTCTTTTTTGGTGACTGTACTTTTAAACATGAGTACTATTATCCAATCCCATATGGAATGTGAAGTGCAATGATATTGTATTGTTGTACAGCTATTATACTTCACTGTCTACTCATGATGCCTACTCAATTTCAGATTTATTGAAAAGTCCACAACTGACTGGGTTTGTATTGTATGCTAAATCATAAATCATGATTCACAAATAACAATTACTGAATTTATACAACACAGAAGTGGTACTTTCATTTTAAAATGGCCAGAATTGCTCAGGATGGATGGATGGATCTTGTGTCAGGAGTCAAGCAGAGTCCAGGGACCATAGAACAAAAATAATGGAATCAAAAACAAAGCTGGCAGGCCAACCCATTATCCTTTATATGCACATAGAACACATAAATGCATCCAAACACTTATTCTAAACATAGTGCACACTAACCAGTTCTTTTATACAGACAGCCATTTTCATACATAGAACATGTTTTCTCACCGATACAGGCAGTATAACAAAAGATGTATAAGTCAAGAACAGGCCAGAGTTTCTCACTCCTGATTTTGGGCAAGTGCAGGATCATTGGTGCTGAGGTGGAGGCTAAGAGTAGAATCACATTGAGAAAATAGTTTAAGAAACCATATATTGTACCTAAGAAAATTAAAAAGGAGAAATAGATGTTCAAACCCTGCTGCTCCACAGGTATGAAGTTAAGAGGATATACTATGATAATAAGAATGGCAAAGCATGCTTATTTTTCCATATTTATTATGTCTGCACATTCATATTTATCAACTCATGCCCAACTTTCTTCTGGAAAAGAAGGCAGGGGAACATCTTCCAATAGGACACTCTGACAGATTTATGAGCTTTTTTACAGATAAAATTTCTTGGATTTGGATATCTCTTGGGCAGAATTTAGTGAGATGACTCAGATGACAATTTGCAAGACTATCTGGGGATTATTTTGAGTTTATGGAGAAGGAGGATGTAACCTAGGTTCTCTGTGGCATACAGTGTATCTTCGTGCCTGTAGATAGGATCCGTGCTTACCAGATTGGTAATTATCTATCACAGTTTGCCAGATTGGGGATTGGAAGCATTGTTTCACAGTATTTCTGTTCCTTCCTTAGTGGACGATCTCCATTTCTGTGCATAGGGATATAACTATCATACCTGTACTTGTTCCAATGTGAGGTGTCTGGATTCTGTTCTCCTCATGTACTATTTAACATCTATATTAATCAATGGGGGTTTTGAATCCATTTATGTGAAATATAATGTTTGTGCTAATGATACTGAACAATAATTGCATGTCCAGGCTATTTCGGTTGCAATCAAAATCCTGGTCTGATGCCTGGAGGCTATAATAATGTGAATGAGCCAAAATTCAAAATAAATCCTAGAAAGACAGAGTTGCTGTTTTCAATAATTAACCTACGTAGCTCAATTCTTGTTTTACCATTGGCTGTCAATAAGATTGCACCTCTATTGAAGAAGCAGGTTCCTAGATATAGAGGCAGGTGTTCTGGAATTCAAGGCTCTTGCTAGAGGAACAGATAGACGCTATAGCCAAGGATGCTTTTGCCCAATTTCAGCTGGTATAACAATTGCAGTTCTTTCTAGTCTGAGCGCCTGTCATCACTGCAGAGCTAGATCACTGCAATGCACTCTATATGAAACCACTGTGCAGAAAATTCAAAAGCTACAATTGGTCCAGAACGTTATGGTACATCTGCTAAAAAGTATTAAGGGATTTAGCAGGGATACACCAATTCTAGTATTACTTTATGTATTTTAGCCATTCTAAAGGTAATATATAATCTTAAAGCAAGGTAATTGGTTGTCCACACACCATGCTTGTTTTAATTCTGCCAGCAACACAATAAATAAGGTAGGTGAGACAGAATAACTAGCTCAACGGTACCTACTTATTTTTATAGCTGAACAGATCAATGCAGGTCTCATAGCTTAAATCCCATGGCTCAAATGCTACGTTCACTGCTTCACCATTTCTAGCTTTGTGTGGGTCATCATGATCAGATATATTTAGCTCCTAATCGAAATCAAGCCATTCATGCTGATTTCAGTTTAGGTTTTTCTGAATGTCTTTCCAGATTTCAGATCTGAAAGAAACTGCCTTGAGACAGGGTTTGGGTTGTTTTTTTTCCATACATGGTATTTAAATATAGACTTTCAGGCTTTGAAAGAAAATAAAAACTTGAAAAACAAAGGTGGCATATACTATGAATTCCAGTTAGCAGTGAAGCTGAAGAATAGTTAAATTCACAATAGAGACACTGACCAGTATTGCTATTTTTGGAGGAGTTCAATTGTGGTCTCTTTGATCATCACTTTTTAATTGATATTCATTCTTCTTTCTGCAACGAGGAAACCCAAAGCTGTGACAACATAGGCCTCGCCAAATAATATCCTGCACGCCTCATCCAGTTTATATACAGTATATGTTTTGGCACACTTTGAAATCTGGTTTCCATTTTAAAAGCTGTTCCAAAACTTGTTTAGCAGTTTCCTTCCCTGCTGATCTAATCTTTCCTCCTTTAAAGATTTTACTGAAAGTTAAACTGAATGTTGCTAGAGATTTTAGTTCTTAGGCTGGACTCTTAGGCTTCCCATTAAAAGAAAAGGGCTTCTTTTTTCTCCAAGGTTTCTGTTACTTGAATTATATGCATCAATGTAGTCTAATCTCTGAACAATTAGAAAAGATAATTGTGAGTGTGATACATCAAATCAATGAAATTATACTCCCCCAGAAGCTAATCAAAGTCCTTTTTAATGTCCATTTGATTTGTATCAGTTAAATACAATAACTTCTTCTCTTCTACCTACTTTGATGTACTTGTCATCCAGGGATTGGTCATACAATTAAGTATATTGATTTTGTTTACCCAGAATTAACTTATATTAAAGTTCTCCATAGAAAAATTTCCTTTGGCTTCTTTAAATTCACCCTAGAGTTTCCATATTCATTATTATTCTAGGGAACTGAGGCACCAGTTGATGATGAAATAAATGTTCAAATGGGAAAGAATACAAATGACCCTGCATTATGAATCCTACATATGTCCTTCTCAGTAATAATCATACAATTCATCACTCTCCCAGTCATCATTTGATCCCAGGTTGGGTCCCTTGGGCAGAGCCAGTGAGGTTAAATTCAGTTGATCTGCAAATATAGGACACAAAGCATATGGTTACTATCTGAAATGAGTTACTGTCCACCCTTATCTACTGCTAAGAATTGTTGGCTAAAATAATTACATTTCCAAATAATAATGTATAATAAGTCATGTAAATGGGATAATGAGTCCTGCCTATGAGTTTTACAATCTATCAGCATAGTTGTAACTGTCAAACAATTTGTCAGGCAATTAGCATATTGGTTGTAGATGTTTCAGACAATTTGTAGTGACCAAGCTAGTGGATTTGATAGTAGCTGAACTCCAAAACATCTGGAGGAAGTCATCTATCCTTTTGCTAACAATGGGACAAAGGCTGCTATTTTGATGGCAATGCCATGCATTTATAAAGTGCTGTTTGAAATGCAAGGAAGAAACACAGCTCCCTTTCTTTACAAAACAATATTTATATTTTTATAGCAACAGCATTTTATGGAGCTTGGAACATAAATAATTTACTTGATGAAACTGGAGAGGGATTTCCATATTTCCATATTTCTAAATTCTATCTCTATGCTGTCACGAGATATATAAAATAGGAACTAATGGCTAAGTAGACATTATCAGCTTAGGGAATATAGAAGACATGTATGGGTACTGGTGGACACAAGAGAAAACCAACTATTGAGACAAACAGGTTGGCTAAAGGAATGACTTAAGGATAGTTTTTACTTACCAGGAGTGAGGACCATAAGGCTGGCAGGAGCTGCCACTTGCCCAACACTGTTTCTTGCGTAGCAATGATACGTTCCTTCATCAGTCAGTCGCACAGCTTGGATCTGAAGCCAGCTGCTTACCTCATACTTCTGAGGACCTCCCCTAAACTACAGCCAATTACATAAGACATATTTCAAATCTCTCTATATATATCTATATCTATATATATTTCCATTGGGGAAAACCCTTGTTAAAAACTTTACTCTGGGATTTTTTGATAACTCACCTGCCATTTTTATCAATGACTATAACAAAATTTTGACAGATAGGTTAGGCTGAGAGAAACTAGGCTTAAGTCACCCACTGAGCTTCCATGGGTAAAATGGCTACAACTACTCTGCATTACTTTGGTATAAAAGATATTTACCTTAATAAATACATAATACAATAATTATAGTAAATATCATACGGTTTCAGTGTTCAAACAACACATTAAAGCTTCACTATGCAGAATCATATTTATTCATTTTCCCATAGTCAATATAAAATGTAGAGATATCTTCCATCTTGGATTTTAAGTTGGATGCACAAGAATCATTCACCACTCTTAAACTCTGCCCATGCATGAAAAATCCAAACTCCCCATTTTGTTTCAGAATGTACAGTAATTCATATTCAACATCTTTTACTCATTTCCTTTCTGAGCACTCTATTTAACAGATAACATATAACAGATAATCAGAATTGGAAGGGACCTTGTAGGTCATCTAGTCCAACCCCCTGCCCAAGCAGGAGACCCTACACCATTTCTGACAAATGGCAGTCCATTCTATAAACCTTAAAGCAACACAGTGATACTGTAGAGCAGGCCCAAAACATAATTCTAACATACAGACATTAAAAACCATCCTTACTATACATCTTCTGAGGGATCCAGTATATTTAAGAAGTATTTTGTTGAATTAACTCCATTTGGCTTAGGATATGGATATTTGTGAAACCCTCTGCTCTGGGTTGAATTTGCTCAACTGATGAGATTACAAAGCAAAGGCTTGCTGAAAATCCTTCCTCCAGCACCGCCACCCTTTGTCAAAAATTTTCAATGATAGCCTTTCTCTCCTAGAACAGCCTACATCAGATATTAGACCACTCCCTCTTGATTACCTATGAAGAGTTATAAAAAGACACCCCTTCTGGGGCGGTTTGATGAAAGATTATCCAATTTGCAGATCCACTGGGCTGGGTGTTATTAGCTGAATTGAGTTTCTTTCTATTGCTTTTATCCTATTTTGTATTTGGAGATTATAAACCAAAGTTTCAAAGTTAGTGAATTGGAGTGACACATACATGCCAAAAAACAAAGTAATAAATACAAATTACTTGCTACTTGTCCAGATCTAAATTCATATAACTTCAATTTGGAGTTTAAACATAATTTAACTTTAAGATAAGTTAAATGTTTTCCTTTATTTTTTTTCCATACTTTATTTTTTGGTTCATCTTCTTTTGTTTCTTTGTAACATTGTGGTACTATATGTTATTCTTTTGCTACACATGAAAAAGGAATTTTGTATATGTAAATTTTCATGAAAGCTATATAGTCCAAATGTAAAGTTTATTGCTTAATATTCCAAAATATAATATAATGTACAATTAAGTGCTGGCTTCAGCACAGTTCCCTGAATCATATTGTTTGACACAATCACATCTACTCATTCATGCAAATACATGCTTTTAATCAATATATCTAAAAAAATACATTTGGCATTTTTCTCAGTTCAAAAAGTTGCAAACCTACATCGAACATGTTATGTGTCTTTTGGCAGGACTATTATGCTGAGCATCTTATCTTAGAAAGTCTCCATCATACTACACAGCATTTAAGAAGATTTATATAGTCATAACTTTGTATAACTGCAACTTTGTTTAGTGTACATCAAATAAAAATCTCCAAATATTATTAAATTTTTAAAAAAACCTTATATCAACAAAAGAATTTGATTACCAACACATCAGATAACATATTGCACCTATCATATATACCGGTACTCCACCTTCCAGAAGATGGATTCATCTATCATTTTAGACTAAACCTGGAGTAAAAGCCAAGATTTAAAGTTTTCCTCCAAACTAAGTGAATTGGGACCATCTGAATCTCAGGGGCAGATTGGTGCAAAGGCAAACATATAGAAAAATATGTTTAACTATTAAATTCATGGATATATATTTAGCATTGCACTTTGAAATTTGTCTTTTTACAGTTTTCAGCTCTGCTCCCTTTTCGTATTCCCACTGGTTAGGGAAAACAGTTCATCCCATCATCTCCATATATATTTGGAAAGTGTTGGATTCCATCCTATTTTTGACTTTCTTTAGCCTGATTCCAAAGCACATTGTGGGTGTGTGATTACATATACATAATGCATATGGTTTTTCAAAAAAAACTCATGCATTTAATCCTATATGCACAAAATATGCATATGCATTTTGTACTTGGGCATGTGCTAGACATTTCAGACTGATGTAAAATACCAATGAATGTTGCTGTTCTTTCCATAATGGAAAATAATCTAAATTATTTACAGATGGAAGTAGCAGCCGTATATGTTCTCTTTCTTCTTTTAAAGCCTAAATGATGAAGTTTAGAAGTTGCCCACATACTGTCTTCATTTCTTAGTCTTCTCTGTAAACAGGATACATGGAATTCATGTCTCTATGTGAATGCCTACATCCAGATTTTTTCCTTCACTGTCAGAAAAGTGAACTGCACCCAAAAAAAGGATGTTGCATAATCAATTGACAGATTTTTAAAAAAAACTCCCTTGGAATAACCATTTAGTTATCTAACCGCATTGCAAAATTGAGACAATTCTAAAATGTGTCATGTATTGGCAGGGGCTGAACCAGAAGGGAAAGTGGGGAGGGATTATAGTCAGGAGGAAAAAGAGCACATAAATAGCTATGTATACCCAAAGTTTGATAATTGCACTCCAAATTGCTAGAAATCTCATGTATCTCTTAATATTTTGGATATATATTATATTGCAGTGTAATAGACTGCACCAGACAGTTCAAAATTTATATTTTATTTGATGGACTTATTTCCCACATATGTATGTATGTATGTATGTATGTATGTATGTATGTATGTATGTATGGTATTCAGCTCTGTTTGGGTATTTTCCCACGTCAATATAGTTGTGCTTTTAAAGTTGTAGCGACATTTCGGCAGAATCTCATCTGCCATCATCAGGCTTGTGTATTGTGTTCGTCTGTGAGTCAGGCTTTCACAGCCGTTTCTGTTTTAAATTTGGTGCTAGCCTACTGTTGTGTTAGAATGGTTAGAATGGAAACCTAGCTTCCTAATAAATGATAGCCATCCATTTACTCAAAGCCAAGCCGCACTAAAAGCCTCCAATACAGGAAACACAATGTTGCCAACCAATCAAGACAAAAAAATGCTACAAAACAGACAGAAGATATTAGAAACATCAATCAAGCAGAACACAGCAAACTCCAAGACCAATAAACACAGACCAAGACTCCCAACCAATCAGGATGAAGAAAAAACCATTCTAACATAGCAGTAGGCTAGCACCAAATTTAAAACAGAAACAGCTGCGAAAGTCTGACTCACAGACGAACACAATACACAAGCCTGATGATGGCAGATGAGATTCTGCTGAAACGTTGCTGCATCTTTAAAAGCACAACTATATTGACATGGGAAAATACCCAAACAAAGCTGAATACCATACATATATAAATACCTGCGAAAACTTAAGAAAACATATTTTTAAGAATTCAGTTGGAATCTATTTTTCTCTAACATAAATTCATTATTCTGGGTATTGAAGCAATAAAGAAAAGGCATTTCCCTTTTCAGTGTGATTTCCTATCAGATATTTAAAGAGTGTATCCCCCAATTTATTTTATCTTCTAATACTTAGCACCTTCAATCTCATTTCGTAGGCTTTAGTTTATAATATCCTAATCGTCCTCATTACCTTTCTAAGTTAATTCCTGTTTCTCCGAATCCTCCTTAAAGTGTGATGCCCACATCTGGACACAGTACGAAATGAAATATGATCAAAACACAATAAAATGGAACCAAACTGCATTTTTCTTGTTGATTCATATTCAGTTTTCCACAAGATTTTCCTACCATGAAATACTAGTTATATATATGTTTGATTCCAGTCTTGGTTTCCCTTAAAATCAAGAACTCCAGCAATGCATGATCACTTTCTAAAAATGCCATTTCATGCTATAATCCATATTCATGTAATTAACACAGACCATAGTTCCAGAAACCAACTCCTGTCAACACATTTTGGGTAGCCAGTGACTGATCTGTAAGAAACTATGTTTGGTCCATTTGCATGGATGATGGATGAGAATACTGTCTGAGGACCCAAAGTTTTGACCTTTTTCTAAGATTGTTAAAGCCTATGGTGTTTTGTCCTACACCATAGGGGGACCAGTAATTGTGAGGTCTGATATGCTTAGGATGTTGTTTTGCTGTATCCTTAAGGATTGCTCCTAGTAATCAGTAACCTCACAAGCTAATGTGTCTGGTAAAGATACACATGTTTCGTTTCATCATAATGGAGAATAACCAATTACCATGGCTCTTCTTTGTCACAGTTGCATCTCCCTCTGCCTTTTAGGGATTTATTGTTTTCCATCCTGCAGCATCTCTTCTTCTGAATTATCTCAGCCCATTTCAGCCACAAAAGCCTAAAACCTATTTCTGAGTACATGGTGCACAATAGCTTTATGTACCTTTGTCTCTTGATTCTGGTTATTTTCATTCCCTAGACTTATTCCTAGAGAGGCCTCACAAATGGCTATGGCTATCTGCTTCAATAGCAATAAATATGTCAGGCTTATCTCAAGGTAATCAATCCAGTCCAAAACTATACATGTGAAGGCTATCTTACAAGCAAACTATGTACTAGGGGAAAAACAACAGGAAAGTTATGAATCCAAACTAAACAAAGTCAAATTTCCATGAAAAAAAACCCTGATAGTGAGGAGACTGTAGTAGGAATTTCATGGAGCCTTCACAGAATGGTGTTATTCTGTAATACAAGTCTATGATGATCCTTAGATAACAGCTGCTTCTGATCCTGCTTGAGCACAGCTGGCTCTCAGCAAATTTGGTTTCCCCTAGCAGATTTCTCCTGAGTAATCTTGCAAAGTCTTGCTGTCTCTTTGTGAAGTTGAGCACTCCTATTCTCTCTGCCCATTGTTTACTTTTCAACTGTTGGCCTACTTGAGGCTAGATGGAGGAAGTCTCAGGTTTGGGTCAACATTGTAGTGTTCGTTTTAAGAAAGTCGGGGTCAGTGTAGTGGTGGGATTCAAATTTCTTTACTACCGGTTCTGTGGGTGTGGCTTGGTGGGTGTGGCAGGGGAAGGATACTGTAAATTCTCCAGTCAGAGGTGGTATTTGCCGATTGTCCAAACTACTCAAAATTTCTGCTCCAGAATTGGTTAGAACCTGCTGAATACCACCACTGGGTCAGTGGTAACTCTGGTTCTATGGTACCTGGCAACATAGATTTCTGGAAATGATTCATCAAACAATTCATGAGGAGGAATCTTGAAACCATGCTATATGACAGCTTCTTCCTTTGAGTTTCTTTCTTACAGAGTGTTGGTTCTACTATCAGTTTACATTGTAGTGCCTCTTTACTATGATCTGATAAATTCTTTCTCATCAGCTGAAGTACCTCCTTATTGCTCCCATCTTCACTTTTTCTTCAAGAAGTACACAAACTTGGACCTGTTGTGAATATAGGTCAAGATTCTCTCAGGTAGGTACACAAACATGCCACAAGAGCTCCAAGTCATAACTACAGGTTTCTATCCATTCATCTTTGGGAGAGTAGCGGTTGGGGGGGAGCAGCACTAGGAGAAAGGATTGTATTTCCACCTGTTTCTGGTTCTCAGATTAGCTGAAGTACAAACTTTCAATCTCCAGAGAAAATTTGTTAGAAACTCTTCTGTCAAATTCGACCAACAAACTCCTGTTAGCAAAAGTCAAAGACTTTGACTTGCTGAAGAGTCAGATTTAACATTAAAATATGAATCAATAAAATGGCATGATCAGCCTTTTTTCATGGCAGCTATACAAAATCTGGCTCTTATGTGGATAATAAGACATTTTGTCTCATAAAGTAACAGCCTGACATAAAACCCATCCATTCTGCCTGGGTATTGGCATGGCATACTATTCCATGGCATAGTTTTATGGAGATCCCTATAAAAAGGTGCGGGTATGTTGTACTGTTTTAGTGTCCAGTTCAAATGGGCACACACACTCAACTAAAGGAATTTTAGAATATCTGCCCTACAAAAATACAAGACAGCGGACAGTGTGCCCCACGTGATCCATACCCAACATTTTAATTACTTCAACACATTAGTAAAACAATCTTTATCCTCACATAACAGCAGCTCCAAGTCACTCTGTCCCTTGACATTGCTCATACATCTTTAGCTTCTCCCACTATCTGTTGGATTAACATCTCTAGGTGAGGAAACTTATATGTACAATTGCAAGTGTGAAGATTTATATACATGCACAAAAAGTATGCAAGTATGCAAAAAAAATTGCATGAGGACAATGATAAATACATAATGATAGTATAGAATTGTTTGTATATGAAAGTCAAATCTTTTGTAAAAGCTGGAGGGTCCATATGCCTGTACAACTGTTCTTTTCCTTACACTTCACTTAAGATAAATGTACGCAGGATTACATTTTTAAAATTCCACTCTCTAAAAAGGTGTCCAAATTCCATGCTGCATACAGAATTAGCAGTGCATTAGGACCTTGGTACTCTTGCTCAGTATCTATTCTTCTACTAAACATTTCTGATGCAACATATTCTATGGCATTATACCCAGACTATTTTTAATTAACTCATAGCAGCAAACATTCTCTCTGGAGATTTTCCCATTGTTTTAGTTTTTTCCTTGCAATTCCTGGTTCCAGTTTAATTTGTTTAGTAGTATTTTTCTCATCTGTTTTCTTGGACTAGTATGATTGTGCTTATGTCAAAGGGGTAGTTGAAGTTTGATACAACTAAATTGCCAGGAACAAAAATGTCTCTTTTTCTAAATGATAGATACTATCACAAACATTATCCTACTGTTTCTCTTGACTTAACATGGAACTATCCCAGCAGCCCCCTAACCAGATTGTGACTTGACATATGCTTTTACCCCACCCAAACATTCCATATAATAGTAGAAATTTTAGTTTCCATACATGATTCCTAGGATTTCCTCACACACCCTCTAAATGGAAGGGTGTAGCACTAACTACTTTTCAGCCTTTTAAGTTCTATTTTAGGCTGGCTTCCCAAGCTTGTTAACCTCTGTGAAGATCCATGTTAGAAACATTCACAGATCACAACAATATTTCCAATTGCTAATGTAAATGTGTGTAATTGTGCCCAGCAAGAGAACACACAGTAAAAATGGAATGGTAATTAAAGCTTGCAGTAAGAAAAACAAAAGAAAAATGAGGAACAGGTTCATGGGTTAACTGTATTTTTAGCAGCGCCAAAAAACAAAACAAAGCAAAACAACAACAAAAAAACCCACAGAAGGTTGTTTGAAGAAATCTGCGCATGTCCAAAGCTGGCTGTCATATGTTAAGTAAGTCCATCTTTTGTTAAGCAAGCAGAAGTTGTAAATCAGCAATGTATAGGATGGAAGACCTGAAGAATTTTCAGAGCCAATTAGATGTTACTATTAAAGTTCTCACCTAGGAGATTCAGGTTCCTCAACAAAAAGAAGAAGTCAATATTACATATGCCATATTGAGCTTCTAGCGGGGAAGTGGGAATAAATCCAGGGGTGGGATTCTACCAGTTCGCACCTATTTGCTAGAACCAGTTGTTAACATTCTAAGCAGTTCGGAGAACCGGTTGTTAGAAGAAATTACTGGCCTAATCCTGTAAGGAAGGCAGGAAGGAAACATTCTGGTGTTGCTTACAGAAACTGCCTCTCCGTTAACCCTTATTACATTCTTGGCAGGACTAGACTTCCTATCTCAGGAACATTTCTGGAGTTTTTTTCCCCCTCCTTTGCTGGTACTTTGCTTGTGTGGAGTGACCATTTAAAGTTACAATGGCACTGAAAAAGTGACTTATGACCATTTTTCACACTTATGACTGTTGCAGCATCCCCACAGTCATGAGAGGCCAGGCGAGGAGATGTGTGCCTCGATGTGAGTGATATTGAGTTGGAAATGCCCAGCCAATAACATGACCACCAAGCCATGTCCACCCAGTCACATGACCACCAAGCCACACTCACCAGCTAAGCCACGCCCACAGAACCGGTTGTTAAAAAATTTGAATCCCACCCCTGAATAAATCTAATAAAATAATTAACTATGAATAGTGACACTTTAGGACAGAGGTCTCCAAACTTAGCAACTTTAAGACTTGTGGACTTCAACTCCCAGAATTCTAGGAGTTGAAGTCCATAAGTCTTAAAGTTGCCAGGTTCGAGGGCCCCTGCTTTAGGACCATACACAAAGAGCTAAAGGGAGGACCATATTGACCATATACACAAATAACCACTGTCTGAGGGCAGACCAGATTTTCAGGGTTACCTGAACTGAAATGTGGGGGTCATCTCCAGGAAGCAGCATATCCAGACCCTCCTTCCTCCATTCAATAGATGCCATGGGAAATGCAAAGACCTCACAGCCAAAGATCACATCTTGCCCAGTGATGTTCCAGATATCATAAGGAGGAGATACAATACGGGGCTCTAAGAAAGGCCAAAAAAAGATCTGAGAAGCCAAAAATCTCTAGATTATTTGTCCGTGATAATATTATCATTCCTGTTCCATTTTAGAGATGATGATTCCTACAAGTTACCATTTAGTACATACTTCAAGAGATCCTTTAATACTTATCTGTTGATAATAAGCGTGTAGTCAAGGCCTGTCTTACTTTATTTTATTTCATTTGTGTTGTGGTTCGCCGGCAGCCTGTGCAGACGGGCAGCGGAATCAGACAGTGGGGAAGAACAGGGACCAGTCCAGGAGTCTGGAGAGGACTCGGACGAGGGTCCTGCATCCAATGCAGAGATGGGGCCAGGATCATCTGGGAGTGGGGTGCTGACTCCAGAGCCTCCGGAGCCTGGCAGTAGTGAGGCCGAGGAACAAGGGGAGCCTGTTCCCAGTGCGTGTGTGTGCAGAGCTGATAGAAGGCAAAAGCAGCTGAGACAAAAGGGGTGACTCCAAGCCTTACTTGGAGGTGATTGCCCCTCCCATAAGGTATAAACAAAGGACAGGCAAAGGTGATGAAACCTTTGTAGGAAGCAAAGTTGTTTATTCTGTTCGGATTAATCCTTGGAGCTCTGTGTGGACTTTGTACTTTGGTTGTTTTTTTTTAATAATTGTTTGGCACTCTAGTTGTTGGCAGCAATTCAAAGGAAAGAAAGGTAGGTGCTTATCTCGAAGGGACTGTTTGGGACTCATTACCCAGCTGGGAATGAAAATAATTCCCAGCGTTGAAATAAAACAAGAGTTGTTTTAACTAAGCATGCGTTTAATTACAGTCTTGGGAAGAACAATTGGTAACATCTAAACTTTTCATAATGGCATGGGCATGGGACCAGGTTACTTTCAGAACTGTCTCTCCTCATCTGTCCAACAGGAAAGGCATGTTCCAGGTCCCATCAACTAGGGAAAGTCACCGGGTGGGTCCATAGATGAAAGCCTTTTCTATTGTAATACATCATTCTTCTGCAGATTAGGCTTTGCCCCAACCCTAGAGGCAGGGGTGGGCTGCTGAGGATTTGCAGGGATTCGGGAGATTCTGTGCAGTTTGGAGAATCCCCAAATCCCACTCCTGGCTGGGGGAGGGTGAAAAATGGGCCTCCCGGAAGTTTGGGAAGGCTGGAAATGGGCCTGTTTCCAGCTTCCAGAGAGCCTCCGGAGCCCGGGGAGGGCAAAAATGCCCACCCTGCCATGGTGCAGGAGGCCGACTAGGCCACGCCCACCCAGCAACCCGGCAGAGAACCCCTTGCTAAAAATTTTGAAGCCCACCCCGGCCTATAGGCTTTCAAGAAGGCCTTAAAAACCTAGCTTGGAACGAGCCGGGGCTCAAGCTGTGTGGTTAAGCCTATTATATTGATGACGTATGTTGTGGTTTTATTTAATCTCAGCGCCTATATTTGTTTTTTATTGTCTTTATGGTATTTTATCTTTTACTTTTTGATCGCCTCCTAGAGTCATATGTTTGAGATGGATGGTCATATAAATAGAATAAATAAATGAACCTTTGCACTGGACTCTCAGTTTCCTTTCAGCGGAAAACCTTTTATGATTGAGCTAAATAGTGCTGCTTTGCCAGGCCACCAGCAGCTGTTATAAAGAATGTATTTGCATCATCATGGCACATCTGTGAACAAGGGCCCTTGGCCCCTAAACGGTGGTCCGGTGCTTTGTCGCAGTCGTTTAAATGAAATGCTTTCTAGGGATGTTGCAGCTGCCTCCTGTTGCTGGGGAAACATGACAGCTTTGTGGCAGCTGCTAATCAGCTTGCTTTATTGTCAAATGCTTGGATTTGACTTAAGCTTTCCAGCTAACTCACTTTTCCTCTTGTTTTAAGGTTTGATGCCTGGGGAGAGACAGGTAGCTGGCTGATAGGTAGAGCACAAGTTCTGCATACAGAATGACTTTTATTCAAGCTCTGGAACCTCCAGAGTTTTGTTCTGGTTTTTATAAAGATCAATAGCAATGAGATAGATTTTTACCTCAGCTTGCCCTGCCAGTTAGATATTAGATGCCAGGCTAGATGAATAATGTATGCTTTATTAGAAAGCAGCTTCTAATCTTTCAGAGTTTTTTTTTAATAACATGTATCTTTATGAGTCTAAATATTAGAAACATTCACTTCTTCCAGTATCACAATCCTGTATCTCCACATTCTTTTCTGTTCCTCCACAACCAACCTAAATTTGCTTTTTGTTACTGTATCACCAACAACATGGAATCTTAGTTTATTCTTCTGTTTCAGGCTATCTCCTTTCCTTGTGATAAGGAGATCAAATTAGAGATAGTTCCTTCAGCATTTGCAGGTCTAGCCCCTGTTTATTACCAGTTTGTAATAGTGTCATCTCAATATCTCATGAAATTTTGTACATACTTTGTATCATTGGCAACCTTATATTTGGTAGGAAGAAATGGGATACTAAGTCACAAACTTAGCTTGTAGCAGTCATTGCAGTTATTACAGAAGAGACATGTAATATGTAAATGCTGTTTTAGTAGCAGACATATTCTATCTAGAACAATATCTAGTCTGGTTTGATTTACCAAGTTCTGCCATAATATGAATTTCTGGAATAGTATATTAGTGCAGACCAATGTGTACGCCAGATGACACTTGATATCCCGAATATATAATGTTTGTTACACATGAAATATTTCTAGCAATTACCTTAACTCTAGAGATTATTTTTATATATCATTGCTTGGGGTGGTCTAGCTCTAGAAAGTAACAGTCTGTCGTTGTGGAATTCCAGATATTCAGGTTCATCTTAATGCTGAGGACTGTTTTACCTTGGTGAATTCATCAATAGGCATTGATTCCTTATCCCCAATTATTTAATTCTTTTTAAAATTGCAACACTCCATGGAAACAATAGATACACACTGACTGTGTACTATTAAGAAATATGTCCAGTCCTTATAGAGAAAGATGGTAGATAAATGGCAGTGCATGCAGAAAAACCCAGATTCAATCTTTGGTATCTTTGGACTAGATAGCAGATTTTGGGGGGGGGGGTATTCTGAGAACTGCAAAATTATTGAAACCAGGTTGTTTTTGACAATCTCTCTTACCCAATTTAAAACCATCAGATTATTTACTTCACTAGACATTTTTTTATTTGAAAATGTAAGAGCGTAGAATCGTTGTTTCCCACTTATTTTATTTTCAAAACATTTAAAACCAGTCCTTTCTGGACTCACCCAGGCCTTGGGGAAGAGGGACTTGCAGTGGACCTTACCTGATTCACAAGGTCCTTCATGAGCTACAGTGAGATTAGCCTCAGGGTTGGAATTAAACACCTCTTGGAATTTGCAGATCTGAGCATATGTTTTGCCATCAGAGCCACAAAGAGCTTGGCTAGATAAACAAGTGCACTGGGGCTCAGGCACCTCGCCATGTTGCAGGTCTTCCGAATCAAGATGGCACTCTAAATGATCCCCACATTTGCCATAGAAGTGATTGGTATGGTCCAGGTCACAGATCTGTCCCTCTAGATTTGCACATTCCCAACAACAGTCGCAGGCGTCCAGGACTACTCCAGCCAGGCAGCCGCGAGGGGTGGGGCATTCTTCCAACCTACACTCCACGCAACTCTCCCCTTCCTCTAGAAGCCTCTGCCAGCCACGTTGCAAATAATCAGGACCAAGGGGCACTGCCAAAACGAGGGCATCCCAGCAGAGAAATAGCATAAGAAAGGTGCCATGTAAAGGAGCTAGGGTAGCGGGTCGAGGCATTCTCACAAGTTCACTGCAAGTCGGCACCCATTTGTCACCCTTGCTTGTCACCATCCCTGGGTCGATGGAAGAGCATTCACTACCTGCTCCTTTTCAAAACCACGAAGGCATCACTGCCTGCAAGAAAAAAAAAGGGGGGGGGGAGGAATTCAGATGCAGCAATTATTTCGCCTTTCAGTTACTGTACATCAGGGGTGTCCAACCTTGGCAAGTTTAAGACTTGTGGACTTCAACTCCCAGAGTTCCTCAGCCAGC